ACCTTGTACGAAGGCGGCAATGCAATTTCTGATTGAAGTCAAAAAGGGCAGGTTGTAATCGGATGCAAAAGTACAGATGAAGCATCCGTCTATGCTGGGTATCGTAGAGACGGTATCGTGCGCCAAGAAGTAGGTCGAAATCATCCATACGATAAACTTCAGGAGCGTACGTTGAGGTCATTCTGTGAAATATTAGCGAAGAAATGGGGCCAAAAGGAAAGAGTATAGAACGACTCCGACAGTCATATACGCATGCGTTTTGCTCCAAACAAGTTTACATAGGGTTCTTGTAGCATCATCGTTGCAAGGCGGCTGACTACTTGGTATCTTGTTTCCTGTCCTTTTCATCATCTGGTGGACGTTGGTACTAAAGTGATGGCAAATTCTCTATCATCGGAATGTGGGGGAAGTGGTGCTGCAGCTATGGTGACGGCGGCACTGAGGAAGGCGATGAAATCTCGAGATAAACAGTGCGACCTTTGAGGTGATTACAATGAAGAGTTGATTTGAAAGCTGATTCATTTTGCGTGGTTATTGCTAGTTGGTGTGAGCACACGTTTAGGCGAGCAAAAGTCGATTACATAACGAAAGTCTTTGATGTTGCAAATCAATACTACATTTAACAGTATGTAGATCTGAATCACGAAACGTTACTTTTCCAAAACGGGTTTCGGACTCGTATCGACTTGCTGGATGTGTTGGTGACTACAAGTCATGACAGTGGTGCTATGCTGGCATAAGCAAACACATGGAAAATGAATCTTAAGAGTTGTGAGGTTGAGCATTTGTCACCGTTTGACCCTGTTCTGATTCAACACGAATGTGCTACATGTTGAATATGGGCTCAGTTCGGTTACCGTGCCTACAAGCGCACACAAAGCTCATCTCTGCACGCAGCATTGGTGGAGTGTCTGACGACGTTTCGGATCGTTTTTGTTCTGGCGAAAAGAAATCAGAAGTGACTACATTGGCGCCATGGTGAATGGACTCAGCAGGGTTTGTCGTACGTGAGGTTCATAGAAGAAAGTAGGCTTGACGGCGAATCCATCGAGCAAAGTAAGACCGTACTTTTACAGGATCATTTCTATAGTACCTTCTTTTCTACTTGACTTTCCTAGTAGACAACCTCCTTAACTTTGATGATCGTATTCGACTTCATGCATTGACTCGGGATGTCGGTGGTAGTGCTGTGCTCTCTTTGAGACTGGCCTCCTCCGTTGATGAACGTCCGCTGTCGTTATTCCAAGACAGCGTGAGTGTGTGAAGTGATATGAGAAGTTGTGGAGCTCCTTATACTACGTTTGGTCTCTGCTTAATATTTCGTCCCACATTAATTGAACTCTGCTCGTAATTGAATCCCTATACTGGATTCGATCCCCACACTCAATTCGATCCCCATACTCGATTCGATCTCTGTACTCGATTTGATCTCTGTACTTAATTTGACCCACGTAAATCAATTTGATCCATTCATATACTTTTGTTGACCCCTGTACATGCTCGGTTCCCATACGATAGCTGAGCACTAGCCTTATCCATGATGTACCGAACAGAACAGTGCGGCACTACATTAACATACCAATACGACACACGATGGCACGCCTCTGTTCCTTTTCGATCGAACGTTTCAAAACGACATCATATCCCTGTATACGGACCTTCTTTGCAGCAAGAAACAGTTCACGACGACACGATCATGTATATTCATACACAATTACAGGCGGAAGTTGATGTTCACAGAGCATAATCATCCCATACATACCTGTAATCTATATCGGAGGAATAGCGAAAATGAGCTGCTACATCATTTTTCAGAGAAACAAACGACACGAAGGCGTAAGATTCCCGAGAATACGGAATGGTGATGAAAGAAGCAGAACAGCATTTCTAGTTCGTGTGTAACGCATATTTCGATTGACCTTGTACGAAGGAAGCAATGCAATTTCTGATTGAAGTCAAAAAGGGCAGGTTGTAATCGGATGCAAAAGTACAGATGAAGCATCCGTTTATGCTGGGTATCGTAGAGACGGTATCGTGCGCCAAGAAGTAGGTCGAAATCATCCATACGATAGAATTTTGGAGCGTACGTTGAGGTCATTCTGTGAAATATTAGCGAAGAAATGGGGCCAATAGGAGAGCATGGAATGATTCCGACAACCATATACGCATGCGTTTTTGCTCCAAACAAGTTTACATAGGGTTCTTGTAGCAATATCGTTGCAAGGCGGCTGACTACTTGGTATCTTGTTTCCTGTCCTTTTCATCATCTGGTGGACGTTGGTACTAAAGTGATGGCAAATTCTCTATCATCGGAATGTGGGGGAAGTGGTGCTGCAGCTATGGTGACGGCGGCACTGAGGAAGGCGATGAAATCTCGAGATAAACAGTGCGACCTTTGAGGTGATTACAATGAAGAGTTGATTTGAAAGCTGATTCATTTTGCGTGGTTATCGCTAGTTGGTGTGAGCACACGTTTAGGCGAGCAAAAGTCGATTACATAACGAAAGTCTTTGATGTTGCGAATCAATACTACATTTAACAGGATGTAGATCTGAATCACGAAACGTTACTTTTCCAAAACGGGTTTCGGACTCGTATCGACTTGCTGGATGTGTTGGTGACTACAAGTCATGACAGTGGTGCTATGCTGGCATAAGCAAACACATGGAAAATGAATCTTAAGAGTTGTGAGGTTGAGCATTTGTCGCCGTTTGACCCTGTTCTGATTCAACACGAATGTGCTACATGTTGAATATGGGCTCAGTTCGGTTACCGTGCCTACAAGCGCACACAAAGCTCATCTCTGCACGCAGCATTGGTGGAGTGTCTGACGACGTTTCGGATCGTTTTTGTTCTGGCGAAAAGAAATCAGAAGTGACTACATTGGCGCCATGGTGAATGGACTCAGCAGGGTTTGTCGTACGTGAGGTTCATAGAAGAAAGTAGGCTTGACGGCGAATCCATCGAGCAAAGTAAGACCGTACTTTTACAGGATCATTTCTATAGTACCTTCTTTTCTACTTGACTTTCCTAGTAGACAACCTCCTTAACTTTGATGATCGTATTCGACTTCATGCATTGACTCGGGATGTCGGTGGTAGTGCTGTGCTCTCTTTGAGACTGGCCTCCTCCGTTGATGAACGTCCGCTGTCGTTATTCCAAGACAGCGTGAGTGTGTGAAGTGATATGAGAAGTTGTGGAGCTCCTTATACTACGTTTGGTCTCTGCTTAATATTTCGTCCCACACTAATTGAACTCTGCTCGTAATTGAATCCCTGTACTGTATTCGATCCCCACACTCAATTCGATCACCATACTCGATTCGATCTCTGTACTCGATTTGATCTCTGTACTTAATTTGACCCACGTAAATCAATTTGATCCATTCATATACTTTTGTTGACCCCTGTACATGATCGGTTCCCATACGATAGCTGAGCACTAGCCTTATCCATGATGTACCGAACAGAACAGTGCGGCACTACATCAACATACCAATACGACACACGATGGCACGCCTCTGTTCCTTTTCGATCGAACGTTTCAAAACGACATCATATCCCTGTATACGGACCTTCTTTGCAGCAAGAAACAGTTCACGACGACACGATCATGTATATTCATACACAATTACAGGCGGAAGTTGATGTTCACAGAGCATAATCATCCCATACATACCTGTAATCTGATATCGGAGGAATAGCGAAAGTTGAGCTGCTACATCATTTTTCAGAGAAACAAACGACACGAAGGCGTAAGATTCCCGATAATACGGAATGGTGATGAAAGAAGCAGAACAGCATTTCTAGTTCGTGTGTAACGCATATTTCGATTGACCTTGTACGAAGGCGGCAATGCAATTTCTGATTGAAGTCAAAAAGGGCAGGTTGTAATCGGATGCAAAAGTACAGATGAAGCATCCGTCTATGCTGGGTATCGTAGAGACGGTATCGTGCGCCAAGAAGTAGGTCAAAATCATCCATACGATAAACTTCAGGAGCGTACGTTGAGGTCATGCTGCGAAATATTAGCGAAGAAATGGGGCCAAAAGGAAAGAGTATAGAACGACTCCGACAGCCGTATACGCATGCGTTTTTGCTCCAAACAAGTTTACATAGGGTTCTTGTAGCATCATCGTTGCAAGGCAGCTGACTACTTGGTATCTTGTTTCCTGTTCTTTTCATCATCTGGTGGACGTTGATACTAAAGTGATGGCAAATTCTCTATCATCGGAATGTGGGGGAAGTGGTGCTGCAGCTATGGTGACGGCGGCACTGAGGAAGGCGATGAAATCTCGAGATAAACAGTGTGACCTTTTGAGGTGATTACAATGAAGCGTTGATTTGAAAGCTGATTCATTTTGCGTGGTTATCGCTAGTTGGTGTGAGCACACGTTTAGGCGAGCAAAAGTCGATTACATAACGAAAGTCTTTGATGTTGCGAATCAATACTACATTTAACAGGATGTAGATCTGAATCACGAAACGTTACTTTTCCAAAACGGGTTTCGGACTCGTATCGACTTGCTGGATGTGTTGGTGACTACAAGTCATGACAGTGGTGCTATGCTGGCATAAGCAAACACATGGAAAATGAATCTTAAGAGTTGTGAGGTTGAGCATTTGTCGCCGTTTGACCCTGTTCTGATTCAACACGAATGTGCTGATGTTGAATATGGGCTCAGTTCGGTGACCGTGCCTACAAGCGCACACAAAGCTCATCTCTGCACGCAGCATTGGTGGAGTGTCTGACGACGTTTCGGATCGTTTTTGTTCTGGCGAAAAGAAATCAGAAGTGACTACATTGGCGCCATGGTGAATGGACTCAGCAGGGTTTGTCGTACGTGAGGTTCATAGAAGAAAGTAGGCTTGACGGCGAATCCATCGAGCAAAGTAAGACCGTACTTTTACAGGATCATTTCTATAGTACCTTCTTTTCTACTTGACTTTCCTAGTAGACAACCTCCTTAACTTTTCGTCCGGCTCGACGCCAACGCGTGGATGCGCCTCTGGTTGCCCGACTGGGAACTCCGGGAGCGCTCGCCGTCGACCGAAAGCGAGGCCTCCACGGCCAGCTACTCAAGCCTCGCCAGCGACGCGTCCTTCTATGACGCGTCGTCGGGAGATGAGGCCGGGCTGGCCGAAACGGGTGGCCACGACACCGCCACGCGCCGGTCGGCTCCTCCGCTCGCGTTCGCGTCGCCCCCCGCGCGCCACTTCTCTCCACTGCCGTCTTCGTCCCCGCTCTTCTCCTCGGCTCAGGATGCGATTGTTTGGATACCCGGCAGGGCGGGCGTTACGCTGCCTGACCGGGTATCACCAGAAGCCGCTCAAGGACGTCAGGGCGCCTGGCTTTCGCCACCGGCCGCACGGGCCACGCCGGCGCCTATCCGGCTTGTAGACGACGTCCAAGACCTTCGTCCGTTTGCTGTGCCACCCGGCAGGGCGTGCCGCATGCTGCCTGTCGAGGTGGCGCCTGGACTCGTGCCCGACTCTCAGAGCGTTGGCTCCCCGGGCACTCAGACGCCTTGCCCAGGTCCGAGTGACTTCCACACGCCGCGTCAAGACCCCGGACTGTCTTCTCCGTGCGCCGATGGCCCCCCGATCGAAGATGCGAATGATTTGGTACCCGGCAGGGCGGGCGGCATGCTGCCCGACCGGGTACCACCAGAAGACAATGAAGACCACAACGCCGACTCTCAGAGCGACCACTCCCTGGGTGCTGACAGGCTACACCCGGGTCCAGCCGACACTGCACCGACCTCCGCTGCCCTCCCGCCTGCCCCACCAGCCCCTGCCCCACCAGCCCCTGCCAAGGCTCCCGACGAAGACTTGCTTGCTTCCCAACCCGGCAGGGCGGCAGGCATGCTTTCCGCGGGGTACGCGCTTGTAGCCGCTACGGCTCGCGCCCTGGGCGTCACGCACGACACCAGCGACCCTGCGGACAGCAGCAGCAGCAGCGATGGGGAGGGCTCGAGTAACGAGGCAATTGCTTTCACTGTTGACGAAGACTGTCCAAGTGATGACGACCGGCTTTGTCTGGCGGCTACGGAGCTGCCCGGCCAAGCTGGATACACTGCAGTGGCCGCGGCTACACCCATGCCAGCGTCCACTGCAGCATCTGTCTCTGTCCCACTATTACAGCTCTGTGACAACCGACTCGGCGGTCCGGCATGCATGCAGCCCGACCGAGTCGGGTTTGATGAACCCACGTCCCTTGTGGACACTGCCCTGTCCAGTGCCGCTGTCCTGGACATGGTCAAAGACGACTGCCAGCGCGCCGTCACCCACGACGTACCGGGTCCACTCCACGAACATGTCCAGCCCGAAACAGGGCGACCGGACCCGGTACTATCAGTGTACGCCCATAACGCGCCCGCATTCCCTTGCACGCTGTGTGGGCACACTGCATGTGACATGAGCGCGCTGTCGAGTCACAGACGGACCTCCCACCGTGGCACCTGCTTCGTGGATCATTTCCACAGCGGGTGCACGTGCGGCATCGGGCACAGGACTCGTGCAGCTGCTACGAAGCATGCTATGGAGTGTCGGGACAGCCCGTCCTACATCCCTTCGGCTGCACGTGCTCCCCCGGGTCCGTCTCCGGTCCACTTTCGTTCTCGTTCTCGTTCCGTGTGGTCTGTTCCGGAGGACGAGGTGACCCCCGAACATACCGGGTCCCTCGTCCTGGCTCCTTCCGTGGGTACAGCAGTTGCATCAAGCAGCACTGTGCCCACAGATGCGACCACATCCCAGAGCACCGTGCCTGCTCCCGTGGACCAAGCCGGGCACCTGCATGTCCCCCCCGTGCGGTGCCCTTCGCCACCGCAGCCGCATGTTCGGGTGGCGGGGAAGCGGCGCCGTTTAAACGAAGCTGCTGACCCGCCTGCTTCTCCTGACTGGGACATGGACCAAGGAACCTCTGTGCTTGGAACCCCTGCTTGGCCCCCAGTTGAGGCAAACGAGGACCTGACTTTGGATCATGTGCTGGATGATGACATTTCCGAATTTCTTGTGGATATTTGTGGTTCTACTCTGGATGCAGCTGACCCTTCGCTCACGGAGGATGCTGCTGTCTCCGGTCGACTCGGGACGGGTGAGGCACCAACATCAGCCCCGGCAGCGCCCCGACCTCTGACTTCTGTCGCGTCCAGCTCCCGTGCTACGCGGTGGGGGGCCACGTCACGGCGCGATCGGGTCTTCTGGGGCTGTCCCGCCTGCCGCTGATGTCCCGGCTTGTCCTGCTCCTACTTCTCGGGTGGCTGTTTCGGCTGCGCCCCGACGAACCATGACTCGTTGGGGCCCCCGACTCGTAGTGACGCTACCCATCACTGGGCGACGTACTCGCACTCGACGGCCATCCTCCAGCGTACCTGATTCTCCTTTGGTAGACCGCACCGCGCCTACTACGGCAGTTCCACCTGCTGATTCGCCGATAGCTCCGCCACCATCACTGTCAGTGGTGGAGCCTACTGACCACCCAGCGGTTCCAGAGCACTGGCTACTACGTTTTGACGGGGCTTGTCGTCGGAACCCTGGTGCTGGTGGCGCTGGTGCGGTGGTAACAGACGCGTCTGGTACTGTGGTTTGGACGTGCTCCCACTTCCTGCCTGCCCGCGGTGAAACCAACAACACCGCGGAGTACTCTGCTCTATTGATAGGGCTGCAGGGGGCACTGTTCCACGGTGCCAAGAGGCTAAAGATTGAAGGAGACAGCAACTTGGTGCTCGCCCAGGTGCGGGGCTCATTTACTTGCTCCAACCGGCGGCTCCGGCGGTTGCGAGGTCGGGTTCGCTGCGAGTTGGGCCGCCTGGATTGGTACCAGCTCAGTCACATCGACCGGCAAGCTAACGCTCACGCTGACAGACTGGCTAACCGTGCCCTTGACCTCCGCCGTACCGCGTTGGAGTGTGGGCCCCACTCTGATGACCTCTCCGCTTGTTTCACGCCTGTTTCCTCTCCGCCTTCCAGCCCATCCCCGGCTGGGCCAGTCACAGATGGTCCTCCCGATGCGGATACTGATGGCTCTGTGGATGACGAGGCCATGGACGTAGAAGCCGAGATCGCTGCTCGCGATGGGGGTGAAGTTTTCCCGACTATTCTCATTGGTCCGGGTTCTACTCCAGCGCGACAACCTCGGCTCCGTCTCCGTCACTTGAGCGAGGAGGAGCAGGATATTGCTGCTGCTGCGGTACAGCACTTTGCGGATGTCATGGCGAGCAAGATTACGGATGCGGACAGTTGGATATCTGGTGAGGGATACATCTCGGCCATCCCAGACCGGCTTCGCGAAGTGCTGCTGCCATTCTCGGTGTCACCAATGGGTACTTCAAGCTCGAGAGACAACTGTCCTCGCCAACGCCCACCTCGCGTGACGCGTACGCAGCGCGAACATCGGTTGGATGAGGCCCTTGATGACATGCAAGCGACGCAACAGGCGGTACCGAGTGACCGTCGCGCGGTCCGGAAGTCTCGCCGCCGCGTGGGTAGAATACGAGCGTCTATGGCTCAACTCGAGTTGCGTCGCCGCTTTGCGCAAGACGAAGCCAAGTGTGTTTCCTCTATCCTCGATGGTGCCTCTGCCGAATCTGCGGGTGTCGAGCACCCCGATACATGTCCTATTGGACGGGAGGAGCTTCACCAGCACTTCGTCGGCACGAGTTCCGCTCCTACCGCTTTTGATTACGATGCTGACTGCGGACAGGAATTCCGGGATGTTCTGAATGGGTTCCCACGGACGCTTCTGGGTGATGATTGCTTTTCCGAGGCTTTCTCGATGGACGAAGTGGAGGACCAGCTGTTGAGGGTAACTAAAACGTCCAGCCCCGGGCACGATGGGGTTGGCTATGATGTTTACAACCAGTTTGCCCCGCAGTTGGTACCCCTTCTGCATGCCGCTTACCGATTCTGCTGGCTACATCGGATGGTACCTCGACTCTGGAAGGTGGGCATGGTCCGCTTGGTTCACAAGAAAGGCGACCCGCTGCAACCTACGAACTGGAGGCCAATTTGCTTACAGCCCGCTATATACAAACTCTACAGCGGGTTGCTGGCCAGGCGGCTGTCGTGCTGGTTGGAACTTAACCACCGGTTGCCCATGGCGCAAAAGGGGTTTCGAGAGTTTAACGGATGCCATGAGCACAATTTCCTGGCTACTACGATGCTCGATCAGACCCGCCGCTCGCGCCGCAAGCTCTACCAAGTCTGGTATGACCTCCGAAACGCCTTCGGTTCGCTTCCGCAGCCCCTCATGTGGCAGGTGCTCCGCCGGATTGGTGTTGAGCCCCGGTTCATTAACCGATGCCAAGATATCTATGAGGGGTCTGCTTTCGTGGTTATGAATGCGAAGGACGGGGCGACCGACCCGGTGCGACAGGAAGTGGGTGTCTACCAAGGCTGCCCCTTGAGCCCCCTTCTTTTTATTGCTGCTCTCATCCCACTGGTCCGCCGTTTGGAACTACTGGAGGATGTCGGTGTGCCGCTGGCGGAGGGTGTCCGCCCGTGCACCACCGCTTATGCCGACGACATCAAGGTTTTCAGTGACAGTGCCGATGGAATCCGCCGCTGCCATGACGTTGTCCGGAGGTTTCTCCAGTGGACGGGGCTGCGCGCTAACCCTGCCAAGTGTGCGAGCCTTGCGGTGACCATTAATGCTCGTGGTAACCCGACACTTGACGACAGTGTTCGGCTGGGGATTCATGGCGATGTCATTTCCCCGCTCACCCTTAATGAGAGCTATCGCTATTTGGGGGTGGGCGATGGTTTTGACCATGTTCAGCACCGCCTCCAGCTCGAGCCAAAGCTCCAGCAGATAAAGCGAGAGGCTGTGGCACTGATGAAGTCTGGCTTAGCGGTGTGGCAAGTGGTGAAAGCGCTTAAGACTTACGTATATCCGAAGGTGGACTACGCGCTTCGCCACTTGCGCCCGCTTCGCTCTCAGCTCGAAGGATTCGACTGTGCCGTGAAGCGTGGACTGCGACATATGCTGCGCCTGCCCCAGTCTTCGACCACTGAGTTCTTCTACGCGCCCACTTCTGGTGGTGGACTGGGCCTGCAGTCTCTAGTGGAGATGCACCAATCTCTGCAGGTGGCGCACGCATGGCAGATGTTGCACTCCAAGGATCCAGCTCTAGTGGCGGTGGCGAAGGCTCAGGTCCTACAGGTCGTGCACAAACGATACCGCCTATTGAACGACCACTGGACGGGTCGAGACGACGAACTCGTACGTTTGTTTTTGAACTCCAAGCTCGCGTCGTCTCCCCACGCCACCATCCATCGCAGATCGGGGGACATCGCTTCGGTTTGGGTGGATGTGCAGCGGGTGCTGTGCATCCACCGTATTACCTTTACTGATCGCGCCGACGAGTCTGGTCAGGACGCGTTTGCGATTCGCGTGCCGCACCACACCCAATGGCTTGACCACAAGTCTGTCTTGCGGCACGTGAAGTTGCACATGAAAATTCGACACCAGACTCGGTGGCAGAGTCTGGTGGACCAAGGCCGGACGGCTCGGGTTCACGGTGGACCCGGGTCTAAGTTTGTGCTATCGGGAGCGGGCCTGTCTGATGCTGAACATCGGTTCGGCATCCAGGCTCGTCTAAACCAAGTGGACACGAACTCGGTTCTGAAGCGACACCGTATGCGGCCAAATGCTCATTGTCGACAGTCGGCCTGCTCGAGTGCGGAAACACTGGCGCACGTTTTGAATCACTGTGCATCCAATATGGATTTAATCCGCCAGCGTCATGACACTGCACTCGAGCGAATTGGTGTGGAGATCAGGAAAGCGCTTCAACGGACCAAGTCGCAAGCAGAGTTACGACTCAATCAGACGGTTCCTGAGTACACCGGTGCGGCTCTGCGTCCGGATATGGTGCTGAGGGACGTAAATGCCAAGACCATGGTGATCGCTGACTTGGCAGTCACCTTCGAGACCCATGGTGCTGGATCTCGCCTTTCCTCGCTGCAGTCCAGCTATGACTTCAAGATGCTCAAGTACAAGCCTATCGCCGATGAACTCCGGCTGAAGGGGTGGAGAGTGGAGTCCGCTGCGATTGTCTATGGATCTCTAGGCTCGGTGCTCCCGCGTAACCTCAAGACATACACGGACACGCTCCACCTGCTCAAGCGCGATGCTAGGACTCTGGAATTTCGCCTTTCCAGTCATTGTGTCCGCTCCAGTCGCCGGATCTGGAGCTGGCACTGCCAACTACACAGGGATCGACAACGGAGAGGGGCGGCTACAAGAGAGTCGCGCAGGTCCGGGGGAACCTGCAGGCTCCTCAGCCGCCAGAGGCGCGGTGATAAGCTGGTCTTTATGACCGACAGGGCACTATCCAGGTAGGACACCGCCCTTTAAACCCAGGTACTATCTTAGGCCCTCCGACTCGTGACATACATACAACACAATCCTTTTGTCCTGGAGCGGTAAATAACTGGTAATACACATAAACCTTCTTTTCTACTTGACTTTCCTAGTAGACAACCTCAATAACTTTGATGATCGTAGTCGACTTCATTCATTGACTCGGGATGTTGGTGGCTGTAGTGCTGGGTTCTCTCTTGAACTTGGCCTTCCCCATTGATGAACGTCCGCTGTCGCTATTCCAAGGCAGCGTGAGTGAGTGGAGTGATATGAGAAGTTGTGGAGCTCCTTATACTACGTTTGGTCTCTGCTTAATATTTCGTCCCACATTAATTGAACTCTGCTCGTAATTGAATCCCTATACTGGATTCGATCCCCACACTCAATTCGATCCCCATACTCGATTCGATCTCTGTACTCGATTTGATCTCTGTACTTAATTTGACCCATATAATCAATTTGATCCATTCATATACTTTTGTTGACCCCTGTACATGCTCGGTTCCCATACGATAGCTGAGCACTAGCCTTATCCATGATGTACCGAACAGAACAGTGCGGCACTACATTAACATACCAATACGACACACGATGGCACGCCTCTGTTCCTTTTCGATCGAACGTTTCAAAACGACATCATATCCCTGTATACGGACCTTCTTTGCAGCAAGAAACAGTTCACGACGACACGATCATGTATATTCATACACAATTACAGGCGGAAGTTGATGTTCACAGAGCATAATCATCCCATACATACCTGTAATCGATATCGGAGGAATAACGAAAATGAGCTGCTACATCATTTTTCAGAGAAACAAACGACACGAAGGCGTAAGATTCCCGATAATACGGAATGGTGATGAAAGAAGCAGAACATCATTTCTTGTTCGTGTGTAACGCATATTTCGATTGACCTTGTACGAAGGCGGCAATGCAATTTCTGATTGAAGTCAAAAAGGGCAGGTTGTAATCGGATGCAAAAGTACAGATGAAGCATCCGTCTATGCTGGGTATCGTAGAGACGGTATCGTGCGCCAAGAAGTAGGTCAAAATCATCCATACGATAAACTTCAGGAGCGTACGTTGAGGTCATTCTGTGAAATATTAGCGAAGAAATGTGGCCAAAAGGAAAGAGTATGGAACGACTCCGACAGCCATATACGCGTGCGTTTTTGCTCCAAACAAGTTTACAGAGGGTTCTTGTAGCATCATCGCTGCAAGGCGGCTGACTACTTGGTATCTTGTTTCCTGCTCTTTTTATCATCTGGTGGACGTTGATACTAAAGTGATGGCAAATTCTCTATCATCGGAATGTGGGGGAAGTGGTGCTGCAGCTATGGTGACGGCGGCACTGAGGAAGGCGATGAAATCTCGAGATAAACAGTGTGACCTTTTGAGGTGATTACAATGAAGCGTTGATTTGAAAGCTGATTCATTTTGCGTGGTTATCGCTAGTTGGTGTGAGCACACGTTTAGGCGAGCAAAAGTCGATTACATAACGAAAGTCTTTGATGTTGCGAATCAATACTACATTTAACAGGATGTAGATCTGAATCACGAAACGTTACTTTTCCAAAACGGGTTTCGGACTCGTATCGACTTGCTGGATGTGTTGGTGACTACAAGTCATGACAGTGGTGCTATGCTGGCATAAGCAAACACATGGAAAATGAATCTTAAGAGTTGTGAGGTTGAGCATTTGTCGCCGTTTGACCCTGTTCTGATTCAACACGAATGTGCTACATGTTGAATATGGGCTCAGTTCGGTTACCGTGCCTACAAGCGCACACAAAGCTCATCTCTGCACGCAGCATTGGTGGAGTGTCTGACGACGTTTCGGATCGTTTTTGTTCTGGCGAAAAGAAATCAGAAGTGACTACATTGGCGCCATGGTGAATGGACTCAGCAGGGTTTGTCGTACGTGAGGTTCATAGAAGAAAGTAGGCTTGACGGCGAATCCATCGAGCAAAGTAAGACCGTACTTACACAGGATCATTTCTATAGTACCTTCTTTTCTACTTGACTTTCCTAGTAGACAACCTCAATAACTTTGATGATCGTAGTCGACTTCATTCATTGACTCGGGATGTTGGTGGTAGTGCTGTGCTCTCTCTTGAACTTGGCCTTCCCCATTGATGAACGTCCGCTGTCGCTATTCCAAGGCAGCGTGAGTGAGTGGAGTGATATGAGAAGTTGTGGAGCTCCTTATACTACGTTTGGTCTCTGCTTAATATTTCGTCCCACATTAATTGAACTCTGCTCGTAATTAAATCCCTATACTGGATTCGATCCCCACACTCAATTCGATCCCCATACTCGATTCGATCTCTGTACTCGATTTGATCTCTGTACTTAATTTGACCCATATAATCAATTTGATCCATTCATGTACTTTTGTTGACCCCTGTACATGCTCGGTTCCCATACGATAGCTGAGCACTAGCCTTATCCATGATGTACCGAACAGAACAGTGCGGCACTACATTAACATACCAATACGACACACGATGGCACGCCTCTGTTCCTTTTCGATCGAACGTTTCAAAACGACATCATATCCCTGTATACGGACCTTCTTTGCAGCAAGAAACAGTTCACGACGACACGATCATGTATATTCATACACAATTACAGGCGGAAGTTGATGTTCACAGAGCATAATCATCCCATACATACCTGTAATCGATATCGGAGGAATAACGAAAATGAGCTGCTACATCATTTTTCAGAGAAACAAACGACACGAAGGCGTAAGATTCCCGATAATACGGAATGGTGATGAAAGAAGCAGAACATCATTTCTTGTTCGTGTGTAACGCATATTTCGATTGACCTTGTACGAAGGCGGCAATGCAATTTCTGATTGAAGTCAAAAAGGGCAGGTTGTAATCGGATGCAAAAGTACAGATGAAGCATCCGTCTATGCTGGGTATCGTAGAGACGGTATCGTGCGCCAAGAAGTAGGTCGAAATCATCCATACGATAAACTTCAGGAGCGTACGTTGAGGTCATTCTGTGAAAAATTAGCGAAGAAATGGGGCCAAAAGGAAAGAGTATAGAACGACTCCGACAGCCATACACGCATGCGTTTTTGCTCCAAACAAGTTTACATAGGGTTCTTGTAGCATCATCGTTGCAAGGCGGCTGACTACTTGGTATCTTGTTTCCTGTTCTTTTCATCATCTGGTGGACGTTGATACTAAAGTGATGGCAAATTCTCTATCATCGGAATGTGGGGGAAGTGGTGCTGCAGCTATGGTGACGGCGGTACTGAGGAAGGCGATGAAATCTCGAGATAAACAGTGTGACCTTTTGAGGTGATTACAATGAAGCGTTGATTTGAAAGCTGATTCATTTTGCGTGGTTATCGCTAGTTGGTGTGAGCACACGTTTAGGCGAGCAAAAGTCGATTACATAACGAAAGTCTTTGATGTTGCGAATCAATACTACATTTAACAGGATGTAGATCTGAATCACGAAACGTTACTTTTCCAAAACGGGTTTCGGACTCGTATCGACTTGCTGGATGTGTTGGTGACTACAAGTCATGACAGTGGTGCTATGCTGACATAAGCAAACACATGGAAAATGAATCTTAAGAGTTGTGAGGTTGAGCATTTGTCGCCGTTTGACCCTGTTCTGATTCAACACGAATGTGCTGATGTTGAATATGGGCTCAGTTCGGTTACCGTGCCTACAAGCGCACACAAAGCTCATCTCTGCACGCAGCATTGGTGGAGTGTCTGACGACGTTTCGGATCGTTTTTGTTCTGGCGAAAAGAAATCAGAAGTGACTACATTGGCGCCATGGTGAATGGACTCAGCAGGGTTTGTCGTACGTGAGGTTCATAGAAGAAAGTAGGCTTGACGGCGAATCCATCGAGCAAAGTAAGACCGTACTTACACAGGATCATTTCTATAGTACCTTCTTTTCTACTTGACTTTCCTAGTAGACAACCTCAATAACTTTGATGATCGTAGTCGACTTCATTCATTGACTCGGGATGTTGGTGGTAGTGCTGTGCTCTCTCTTGAACTTGGCCTTCCCCATTGATGAACGTCCGCTGTCGCTATTCCAAGGCAGCGTGAGTGAGTGGAGTGATATGAGAAGTTGTGGAGCTCCTTATACTACGTTTGGTCTCTGCTTAATATTTCGTCCCACATTAATTGAACTCTGCTCGTAATTGAATCCCTATGCTGGATTCGATCCCCACACTCAATTCGATCCCCATACTCGATTCGATCTCTGTACTCGATTTGATCTCTGTACTTAATTTGACCCATGTAATCAATTTGATCCATTCATATACTTTTGTTGACCCCTGTACATGCTCGGTTCCCATACGATAGCTGAGCACTAGCCTTATCCATGATGTACCGAACAGAACAGTGCGGCACTACATTAACATACCAATACGACACACGATGGCACGCCTCTGTTCCTTTTCGATCGAACGTTTCAAAACGACATCATATCCCTGTATACGGACCTTCTTTGCAGCAAGAAACAGTTCACGACGACACGATCATGTATATTCATACACAATTACAGGCGGAAGTTGATGTTCAAAGAGCATACTCATCCCATACATACCTGTAATCGATATCGGAGGAATAGCGAAAGATGAGCTGCTACATCATTTTTCAGAGAAACAAACGACACGAAGGCGTAAGATTCCCGATAATACGGAATAGTGATGAAAGAAGCAGAACAGCATTTCTTGTTCGTGTGTAACGCATATTTCGATTGACCTTGTACGAAGGCGGCAATGCAATTTCTGATTGAAGTCAAAAAGGGCAGATTGTAATCGGATGCAAAAGTACAGATGAAGCATCCGTCTATGCTGGGTATCGTAGAGACGGTATCGTGCGCCAAGAAGTAGGTCGAAATCATCCATACGATAAACTTCAGGAGCGTACGTTGAGGTCATGCTGTGAAGAATTAGCGAAGAAATGGGGCCAAAAGGAAAGAGTAT